TTTGCAAACCTCAAAGTACTATAAAAATACTCCTATGATGATGATGATAATAACGATGATGATCATGATGATTAATCATCAGGACATGGATTGCCCATGTCTTCGCCTATTTCCTCCCTAATTTTAGATCTTCTAGTTCTCATTTTTGAAGAATGATCTCCCTGTTCAAGAAAAGGAAGTGAAAGCAAACAATGTGAAAGGTATTTGTCTCAAAGTGTCCTATTGCAATGGGATTTGGCCTTTGAGGTCATATGAAAGCCCCAGGGACAGTTGTTGACAATCTGAAGCTTCTCTAAAGCACAGGGGAACAGCCTGGGGACTATAAGCCCTGATTTCATCTATAAGCCCTGATTTCATCTATAAGCCCAACTCCATCATTTACTGCTGGGGGACCTTGGGTAAGCCACTTCCTTCTCTGGTCTCAGTTTCTTCATCTGGAAAAATGAGGATTTTCCCTAGATACTCGAAGGTCCCTCAAAGTTTGAAGTCACATGGTCTTGCTTTGTCTGTTCAACCAGATACGATCTCTTTCCCTGGCCCTCACATAGGACTCTGTACCTCGTGGATCCCGAGACTTAAAATTGTAGCAGGCTTTTGAGGAAGTCCAATCCAATAACATTATTTTACTGTTAGAGAAAGTAAGACTCAGAGCAGGGCAGTGACTTGTCTGAGATCACACACAGGCAGTTAAGGGTCAAGGCTGAGACTTGAACCAAGAACTTGACTCCAAATTCAGCGCTCCTCCCAACACAGCTCTTATGAAACTCTGTTGTATTATACTTATTTTGTGTTCTGCTTCTCCTAGACTGTAAGCTCCCTGAGGACAGGGCCCACTGTCTTATTTATCTGTGTATCTCCCCTAGGGCCTGGCACAGCTCCTTACACATACAGGGGCTTAATCAACGTTTAACACTACTGAAATTTTCAGGGTAGCTAGGTGAAATAGTGCACAGAGTACTGGGCTTGGAGTGAGAAAGACTCATCTTCCTGAATTTAAATCCGGCCTCAGACACTTAGCTGTGTCACCCTGTGCAAGTCACTTAATCCTGTTTGCCTCAGTTTCCTCATCTGTACAATGAGCTGGAGAAGGACATGGCAAACCACTTTAGTATCTTTGCCAAGAAAACCCCAAATGGGGTCATGGTGAGTCAAACATGACTTTAAAAAAAGATGAGCAGATTTTTTTTTCTTTCTTTTTAGCCTGGATTATGCATGTACATATGAGTCTATCTATCACATGCATCTTTTACACTTTTGAGTTCTAAATCCTCACTGTCCCTCCAGCCCCTCCCCCACCCATTAAGAAGGCAAGCAATATGATAAACACAAGCAAAACATGTTTCCATATTAGCCATGTTGCAAAAAAAGAAAAAAAAAGGCAAGAAAAGTGACAAAACCATCAGTTCTCTCTCTGGAAGCGGATAGGTTTTTCCCTCATGAGTCCTTTGGAATTGTCTACAGGTGTTTGTGGTGTTACCATGTTGAATTTCTCCTCTCCTATTAGCTTAACTTTAGCATGACTGAAGCCTTTGTCAGTTTCTTTAACAGGGTGCTTGCCAATTATGCACCCCTCCAAAGCTTGAATGTGCCCCAGCGTTGCAGCTCCCTCAGAATTGCACACAGTAGGGGCTTAATACATGGTTCTTTGAACCTCCACAGAGATCGTGTGGTTGCTGGCCTGTGAGATAGCTGCCTTAACTCTACCCCCACACTTTTTCTCCATCCTCCATACCCTACCCAGCCTACTTGAAATGTATAATAGCAGCTAACATTTATATATAGTGCTTACTATGTGCCAGGCACTGTTAAGCACTTTACAATTAGCATCTTGTTTGATCCTCGAGATAATTCGGGGAGGTAGATGTTATCATTATCCTCATTTTACAGATGGGGAAACTAAGGCAAGGAGGTTAAGTGACTTGCCCAGAGTCACACAGCTATTAAATATCTGAAGTTAAATTTGAACTCAGGTTTTCCTCACTCCAGGCCTGATGCTCTTATACCTGGCTCTGAAACTGTTACCACTCATCTCCCCCACCCTTAAGAACCTATCTCACCATAAAAAAAAAAAAAAAACCCAGCACCTAGCCTAGTTTACTATTTGTTTCCTGAAAAATGAATTCGCCCTGAATCCAGATGTTTCTGGGGCATGTAGGAGAGAGGCCAAGGTTGGCCATTCTGCCTTGTACCCTGATATTTTGTGTCTGTATGTGCTTGCGGGCACCCTAGCAAATGTTATTGCAAAAGCCTGTGTCACCAGGGCTGGGTTCCCCTGCTGGAAGGGGGTTCATCTGATTCAGCTGAGGAGGAAATGGATCTCATGCCATCATGCTCCCTCCCCCAACCCTGCACCTGCCCCCCCCAAGTGCGCCCTGAATGGGTGTGTTGTTTAGAGAAAGAATTCTTAGAGAGAAGTCCATGGGCATGTTTTTCCAATATTTGCTAACTGCATTTCAATATATTTTGTTTCCTTTGTGATTCTGTGCATTTTATGCATTTAAAAACCTGATCCTGGGAAGGGGCCCACAGGCCTCACCAGGCTGACTGCTCAAGGGTCCAGGACGCAGGAAAGGTTCAGAGCCCCAGGTCTGGAGACTGTTTATGAAATTATCTCAACCAACATGTTGTCACTTGAAGCGACATTCAGGGCCTCTGGAGCTCATCTGGACTAAAACATTGTCATTCTTAGAGGGCATCTAAACATTACAAATGTGGGACCCTAGATCTGCCTTGGAAGGCATCTAGTCTGGTTACTTCACCTTGCAAATAAGGAAACCAAGGCCCAGAGAAGGTTAGTGACCTACCCAGGGTCATAGCTCAGTAGTCAATGTCTGAGGTTTTCTTTTTCTGCTAACTACTTTAGTGTTGCTTATTTATATATGCCCCACATCTATATCCCTTGGTATAACATCTTGCTGGCTGGTTCACTTGTCTTGAGGCCTTGCTGGCTAGGAGCTAGCTGCCTCTTCCTCACTGGCCTACCATTTGTGTTCAACTCTGAGCCCCTAACTAAGATGATGCCATCCATGCTGATCTAGAACTCGGGGAGTGCTAGGGACTTTAGATGCTTAATTGCTATCTGTCACTGGATGCCTCATAATTCAGCAAACCAACTTTTTTTCGTGAGTGAAGGAAAGCCTTTATTACACTTCTCGCGAGAAAAATGGGCACGTGGGCGCTGGTTCAGTGGTAGAATCAACTTTTAAATAGTAAGCTCCATATTCCACACACAAGGGCTAGGATTGGTCCAGCAAACCAACTTGTACTAAACTCCAGGCAGAGTAGGGTTGTCTTTCATGTTCTCCCCCTATATAGGTGACTGTGAACCTTATCACTGCTCAGGTTTTCTGGATCTCGCAAGTTATTTGCACTCCATGCCCCAGAAGTTACTTTGAATGTACTCTGCATCGACTATTCTGTGTAGTAGACAAAACAGTTCCTTTAGAGCAGTCAACAATTTTGACTTCTTTGTATTTTTTGCCTGAACTCATGATTTTGCTGGTCCAGAGAACTTCAAATAATGAAATTCCCTCTCCCAGTGCAGACTTTAGCTTAGAGAGTGGCCCAAGGGCACTGTGGGTGACCAGCCCAGAATCACACAGTTCCTTTGGCTGCTAAATGGCTACCCAACGTTTGTAGACTTTTGCTAATCTAACCCCCTGCTCAACAGAGACCCTGCTCCCCACTCCTTTCCCAATTGGCCATCCAGTCTTTTTTTTTTTTTTTTTGCCTAGGCAATGGGGTTAAGTGACTTGCCCAGAGTCACACAGCTAGTGAGTGTTATGTGTCTAAGGCCAGATTTGAACTCAGGTCCTCCTGACTCCAGGGCCAGTGCTCTATCTACTGTGCCACCTAGCTACCCCACCCAGTCATGTCTTAACGGCCTCTGGTGATGGATAACTCATTCCCTGAAGAAGGCCCTTCACTTGAGTCTATACATGCCCTAGTTGGGGTATCCACAAAATCTATTGATTATATCATGTCATCTTCCTCCTCCTTGAGGTCCTTTAGTAACTCCTTATTACCCCAAAGGATGAATATAAATCCCTACCCACAAGCTGGGAGGCACTTTTGGACTCCATTCTTTTTTCACTCTATACATCAGCTAAGCCCATCAACTGGCCATTTGCTAAACATGGTTCTCTGTTAGCCATCCAATCCTTGGGCTCCAAATTGATTTCCTCCAGGAAGTCGTCTCCAATTAATGCACTGGGTTTCATTGGGGGGGTGGGGGGCGCAAACCAATTGGGTATGGAACTTGCAGAACTTGAAATTAGGTCTTCTGAGTCGAAGGCCAGTTTTCTGATTGCCGCACTACATTTGGTACCACACCATGCACCCCAGTTTCTGAATTGGGAGAAACCCTGTTTCCTCATCAGTTAGCCTAGGTGCTTGTGAGGAATGGGGAGTACACAGCAAGGCCAGAGGTTGTTTCCTTTTAGGACTGGGGTCAGGGTGAAAGAAGGGTATGGCCAATCATGACAGAACGCAAATGTTGGTGAAATTCTTTATTAACCTTTTTATTACCCTTGAGTAAAAAAGTTGAAACAGCATTAGAGTTACATGGCAGGAAACAATCATCTTGTCATTGTGTGAATTGTACCAACTGTACTGAGCCAAACTTTTCTGTGGATCAAAACCTATGGCCTTCGTTTAAGAAAGAAGACAACATTAGGTTGTTATGTATGTGGTAAGAGGACATGCCGTTTGGAAGGCGATGCAGCTGGAAACTCTAATATTTGCCAAAATACAATTTCCCCGACAGGCTATTCTTTACAGGGAAGGCACTAGAAGCATATCAAAGAGCGTATACAGAAAGCAGCAAGAGAGCTACAAAAACAAAGCAAGCCAAAGAACGGGACTAGAAGAACAAAGCTAACAGGAAAACAACAGGGTTGGGGGAAACTATTCCCTAAAAAGCAGACACTGTTTGAAGCTTGTATTTCTCATAATGCGCACTATG